GTTCTGCATCATCCTTAGGTGACATTGATGCACCGAGCTTGAAATGAGGAGCAAGAGGTGTACTAACTGGTTTTGACATCTCATTTATGCCAAAACATTTTAGTACCTTCCTCAGATATTCTTTCTGAGACAAACAAAGCCTCTCCAATTTCTTATCCCTTGATATCTCCATGCCTAGAATCTTCTTCGCTTCACCAAGATCCTTCATCTCAAACTCCCTGTTCAATTGAGTCTTTAGTTTTGCAATTTCTGTCTGACTCCTGGAAGCTATCAACATATCATCAACATAAAGAAGAAGATATATATAGGATCTGTCTTCTAGCTCGCGTAAATACACACAATGATCATATTTGCTTCTTGTGTACTTCTGCCCTATCATAAACTTGTCAAATCGCTTGTACCACTGCCTTGGAGATTGCTTCAATCCGTACAATGATTTTTCTAATTTGCACACCATCTCTTCTTTTTAAACAACTTTGAATCCATCTAACTGAGTCATGTAGATTTCCTCATCAAAGTCTCCATGTAAAAATGCAGTTTTTACATCCATCTGAACTAGTTCCAAATCCAACTGCGCTACCAAATCCAACAAAATTCTGATGGAGGAATGTTTTACAACTGGAGAAAATACTTCATTATAATCAACTCCCTTCGTTTGAGCGTAGCCTTTAGCCACCAATCTTGCTTTGTAACGGATGTTATTCTTGTCAGGAAATCCATCTTTCTTTGCATATACCCACTTGCACCCAATTGTCTTCTTTCCCTTCGGAAGACTAGCTAGTTTCCACGTCTGATTCTTTTGAAGGGATTACATTTCTTCATTCATGGCGATCCTCCATTTTTTATGTTCTGAACTTTGAACTGCTTCATTAAAAGTGGCAGGAACGTCATCAATTGCAATTGGTGATGCAAAAGAGACCATATCAGCATAACGAGCAGGTTGTCTAATGGTTCTCTTTCCCTTTCTGAGTGTAATTGATTCATGTTTCTGTGGAGGTTCTTGGGTCTGAACCTCTTCTTCATCTGACTCTTCTTCTATCATAGGAGAGTCAACATCAGTTTCTTTACTGGTTGGGACAATCTTGCTTCCTTCAAACTCCACCTGTTTGGAAGTTCCATCTGTATAGTCCAATTTTTCTGAAGTCACCTTTCTCAACATGGTAGATTCATCAAAGGTAACATCACTGCTGAAGATTATTTTCTTTGTTTCTGGACACCAAAGACGATAGCCTTTCACACCAGAGGTGATCCCCATAAAGATCGCCTTCTTTGCTCTTGGATCCAGCTTTGACTCCTTAACATGGTAGTATGCAGTGGAACCAAACACATGTAAGGAATCATAATCTGTAGCATGTACTCCAAACCATTTCTCTAATGGTGTTTTACCACCAATAGCAGTCGATGGTAAGCGGTTGACAAGGTGACAAGCATAGACCAAAGCCTCAGCCCAAAATTCTTTGCCTAACCCAGCATTAGACAACATACACCGAACCTTCTCCACTAAAGTCCGGTTCATACGCTCTGCCACCCCATTCTGTTGTGGTGTACCTCTGATAGTGAAGTGCCTGGAAATATCTTCCTCTTCACAGACTTTCAGAAATGGATCATTTTTGTACTCTCCACCATTGTCTGTACGGAGACGTTTGATTTTTCTGCATGTTTGAGTCTCCATCATGTTTTTCCATTTAAGGAAAAATCCTAGCACCTCATCCTTTGTCTTCATTGGATACACCCAAACTCTCCGGGAAAAATCATCAACAAAGGTGACATAATAGTATGTTCCTCCCAATTAAGTTGTCTTGGAAGGCCCCCATACATATGAATGAACATAATCCAAAATACCTTTAGTATCATGGATTGTTGTTCCAAATTTCACCCTCGTCTTCTTCCCTTTGATACAATGCTCACAAAAAGCTAATTTGCAAGTCCGAGCACCCTTCAATAATCCTTGATCTATGAGTAATTTCAAGGATTTTTCACCAACATGCCCCAAGCACATATGTCATAACCTGGTTGCTTCTGACTCATGTTCATCAGTAGAAGCTGCCACTGCTGTTGTCCCAACAATTGTACTACCCAGAAAGTAATACACATTGTTTCTTTTTCGGATTCCCTTCATTATCACCAGTGCACCAGAGATAATCCTCATAATCCCATCTTTTGCCCTCACTTCTAAACCTTTTGACTCTAAGGTTCCCACAGAGATGAGATTTCTCATTAAATCTGGTACATAATGGACACCTGTTAAGGTTTGATTGATCCATCCTGATTCCTCAAGCGAATTGAACCAATCCCAAGTGTGTCAAGAGGGGAATTATTTGTTGTGTAGACAATTCCACCTTTTAGTTCTTTAAAATCAAAGAACCATTCTCAATTGGGGGTCATATGGTGGCTACAAGCTGAATCTAACAGCTATGAAATGGAACAGCTGGTTGATGGCGTAGCAGCGAATGCGAAATCTGAATCTGCATCATCATACTCAACCATATTTGATTCTGAGACAGCCTTCCCCCTTTCAGGTTTGCCTTTATTCTTGAGCCTGGGACATTCTTTCTTCCAATTCCCTTTTTCTCGACAAAAGGCACATTCATCTTTGCTCAATCTGGACTTTGACTTCGATCTCCCTCTGCTTCCTTTATTCTGACTCTTCGAACGGCCTCTAACAACAAGAGCTTCTGCTTCGACACTTTTGTTTTCTTGTTTGTCTTTCTTTCTCAATTCATAACTATACAAGGCAGCAGTTACTTCACTGAGAGACACATCAACCTTCCCATGAAGTAGAGTAGTTTCAAGATACTCAAACTCATCAGGAAGTGATCCCATCAACATCAGAGCCAGATCTTCGTCTTTAAAAGTCACGTCCATATTCATCAAATCAGTCACCAGCTGATTAAAGCTAGTAATGTGATCATTCATAGTGGTACCTGGTACATAGTTGAAGCGAAACAATCTCTTTTTCATGTATAGTTTGTTCTGACCGCTTTTCTTCAAAAAATTTCTCCTCCAATGCCTTCCACAATTTACTTACAGAAGTTTCCTTAGAAAATTCATACTTCTGCTCTCTAGAAAGACACGATCGAATAGTACCACATGTCATTCTATTGATCCTCTTCTATTCTTTCTCCTCAACATCATCTGGTTTCTCTCCTTCAATAGCAATGTCTAGACCCTGCTGAAATAGGGCATCTAGGACCTCACTTTTCCACATGCCGAAATGACAGGTGCCATCAAAAATCTCCACTGTAAATCTAACATTTGTCACAGCATTTCTTGCCAAAATTGAAGATGAAGAAGCGTCTGCCATTTCTGCTACAAGTTCTATTTAATAGCTGCCAATGCGAAATGTCAATTATCCCAAGGAAATTTTTTCTGATGTGGAAGATCAGCCTAAGCCGCAACCACGGAGCATACTAAAATAAACCAAGAGCGCTGATACCAATTGTTGTGGAATTCGGGTTAATTTCCACCAATAACAGATTCACCTTTAAACTATTATCTAAGTGACTAGTGTGAAAACGATTGTACTAAAAATCACCCCAAGGTAGATTCCCAGGAAAGAGGAGGGGTCACAATGGTCCCTCTTAAAACCCACTTTCCTTAGACAGAACTACCAAGACAAGTAATTTTAATAGGACAATAATTAACAACAACTATACCCGACAATAGCTATTAAATAGACATAAAGAGAACACCAAAATTTAACGAGGTTAGGCCAAAATTATGCCTACCTCCTCGAACACTACTAAAATAATATTTCACTAATAGAGGAAATATTACAAAGAGAAAGAAAGAATACAAATAGCCTTTAATATAGAAGAAGGCTTATATTTGAGGGATGATCAACTAAGGAGGAGGATGACTTTATTTATAACAAAAGAATTTTCCCTTCTCCTTATACACAACCAATGTGGGACTTTGCCAAAAACCAACAATTGCCAGTTGTCTGAAATTCTGTTATGGAAAGTATTGCAAAGTAGAAAGAAGTTTAAATTAGATGTAGGCTTAAACTCTCTTTTCAGGGTTTTAAATTATTATATAAAGGAGGTAGCAACAAATGGTTTTGGGAATTGATTTTTAGGGTTTAACTTTATTCTTTTCTTTTTTCACCATGAACCATGGTCACTTAGGCTACCTTGAGAAGAGCAGCAAATGGACGTGAAAGCAAGGCCACTACACCTAGGGGGTGACGACGATGAGACGAATCCGAGAGTAGGTTTTGTTTTTTCTTAGTTGAAATACTCTTTAATTCGTGTGAGATTTGTTAAACCTTTAATACTTATATTTTTTAATCTAACTTATGAATTTCATGTTTAATAAAATTTGTCCATTGATTCAATTAGTGTTTACATGGTTTTATTAAGGTATTTAATATAAAGATATATATTTGCTAAGTCATTGCATCGAGAGGTGAGTGAGATTAATTTCGATTTCGGGACCAAGTTAAGAGTTTTATAGGATTTATGTTCAATTTTTTTCTCCGAAAAAATTGTGTGCTTTATAATGACGTGTAGCTAATTTATTAGTGTGTATATATATATATATATATATATCAGATAAATTCATATATAAATTTGTGCAACTGTTGATATAATCATGACAATACTTTCACCACAAATGATATTTATACAATTTCACCACAAATGATATAATTCTGAACACTTTTAATTTGAATTTGTTAATTTTTATATGATTTTGGTTTTTCTTTTACCTTAAAATATCATGATGATTATTATAATGGAAGAGAAAGGTGCCCATATACGTTATATTTAGATTATTCAGATAATTATAATAATTAAAATAATATTTTTTAAGATGGTGGTACCCAAGTATACAAATGAAGTTTGGATCGTGCATCCAACTTTTTTGACATTGTTTATTTTATTTGTAAACTATAATTATTGTTATGTGTTGGTATGTTAAAACTATAATTTTAATCAACAACCATAAAGCTCATTTTTCTCTGATTTCCCTATAAATAGCAAGGATGTCAGCCCCTATTCTTCATCTACTTATCTTTATTTGTTCCCATACTAATTATTACATTGCAATGGCTCTGTCACGTCTCTCCTTGGCATTTTCCTTGCTTCTACTGTCATTTCTAGCAATTGCTTCGGCTGGCGATTATGGTGGTGATGCTTCATCTAAGTATGGCTTCGATGGTATACCGGCTGACAGCCCTCAGGCAAAGCCAGAAGGAGAAGAGAAGCCTATTTATGGCACAAATCAAGACACCTACAAGCCAAAACCAGAAGAGAAGGAAAAGCCTGACTACAGCAAAAAGCCATACGTTGTGAAACCAAAGTCAGAAGGAGAAGATCAGAAGCCTATTTATGGCACAAATCAAGATACCTACAAGCCGAAACCAGAAGAGAAAGAAAAATCTGGTTACAACGGAAACTCATACGTTGTAAAACCAAAACCAGATAACTACAAGCAAGCAAAGGCAGATGAAAAGGCTTCCTATGGAAGTAAATCAGAAGAAACGAAAAACTATGTGTCATCTGCTGTTCAAGGGACTGTTTTATGTAAAACAGGTTCCAAGTATTACCCAATTCAAGGTAAGTTCCTGTTGGACAATCCTAATGAGTAATTTGTATTGATCAAGTCTAATTAAGATAATTTTTTCTTTGGCATGAGTAGGTGCTTTGGCAACGATAACATGTAAAGCTGTTGATGAGGTCGGGGTGGAGAAAACTCTCTCCTTTTGCAGTAAATCAACTGATGCAAAAGGTTACTTCTTCATTCCATTGGGTGGCCGCAACTTGGAGCTTAAAGAATGCAAGGCTTATCTTAAAAGCTCTCCATTGGCTGCTTGCAATGTTCCCACTAATGTCAACAAAGCCATCGAGGGTGCTCTTTTATCTGCTTTTCGTGTTCTAAACCAGAAGAAGACCAAATTGTACTCGGTTGGACCTTTCTTCTACACCACCCAAGCTACTCCAGCCCCTGGATATTCTTACTAAACTTGATTTCTTTCTTCTTCGCTAAACAATCTAATTCACTCCCTCATTTTGTTCTCCTGTTATCAAGTTGAAGATTGCAGCTCCACTTTATTATTTCCCGTGTTCTTTCCACCTTTTCAAATATTATTGTTTTATTAATGATTTTATTGTCTGTCTGTTCGGAACTTGTAATCAACTTTGCTCTATCACTATCCGTAACGTTTTGGCCATCATTGTATTCCTTTATTTGGGTAAACTATCACTTTAGTCTCCAAACTAAGGGCTTGTTTCTATTTCGGTTGCTAAACCTTTTTGTTTCTCTCAATTTGTTTTGAACATTCAATTCTTTTAATAATTTAAATCACACATAAAAATTCAATGATACTTTACATAAAATATATATACTGCATATCGTGAAAAGAAGTAACAATTGAGATTATTGATAGAAACAAGTAAGAATTCGAGTATTACACGAAATCACCAAAATGACTAATAGTTTTCTTTTGAAATCATTTAGTCGACATCTTAAAAAAATATACAAGGTACGAAAGACATGACATTTTACAAAAGTAGAGTTCCCTGTTAAAAAATCTAATACATAAAGAAAATATTGCAACTTGACTCGTTTACACACCATAACATATATATGTACTCTGGTACTCCCACTAATACTCTTTTGATGACATCATTCTCTCATCGTACTCCATCAAATTTGTGACACGTGAAGGGAAGCATACTTTAAACGATGAGCTAACAAACTCAATGTCACGCAATAATCTACCATACCACTATCTAATTCTTGGGATGCCACGACAAAAATTATTATCTAAATGCTTATCATTCTACTATGCCTAATAGAAGAACTGTTGTCGATGACATTTTTATGGGTATATTACATAATTCATCACGCAAACTCATTTATTGGCTTGTTTATAGATTCGTTTATTGAATCATTTATTTACTTGTTTATTTATTTGTGTATCAACTCATTTATTAGCTTGTTTACTTCATATTGGTGAAGGTAAAAATTACAATGAACATAAGGTGAACTTTGGAGTTTAAACTATAAAACTAAAGAAATTAAGGATTAATAGCGTAATTTCACCATTTTTCTTTGAAAAAACGGATTAAAGAGTGTGTTGGTTGTCGAACATTAAGCAAATATTAAACAAATATGTTCATGAATCTTAAACAAGAATGTTTGTGAAAGCTAAATAAACGAACTCTAACACTTATAAAAATTAATAAATAAATACTAATATGATACTAAAAATGTAAACAAACACAAACCGAACATAAACGTATTCAATAATAAACAAATGAACACGAACACAATTTTATTCGTTCAAACTCGATTCATTTACAACCCTCGTCTTCGTTTTACAACGTTGGCTCATCCTATGTAATATGTTATTTGCCGGTTTGTGCAAATTGTAATATAGCATTTATATGAATGAGGGCACTGATCTTTTCTCTTGCCCTTATAACCGAGTTTACGTAAGCCAACAACTGTTACTATTAGCTTGATTTAAATTACGATTACAATCATGTTTTCTGTTGGTCTGTGTTTATCATAATTCGGAGGTCTCTTACGGAAGCTGCTCTCAACCTGGTGTTGGGGGTAGCCTACTATCTTACCTCCCCTTACCCCATATATATGGGAAAAAGGGACAGTCATAGAGATAGAAGGTGCTATTGTAAACATAGTGGGTATTATAATTGTGAAATAACAATTTCGATGCTACCTTTATTACTATATAACGACTGTTATTCATACCGCTATTTAAATCTCTGGTTATTGAGGTGATTCTATATCTAGAGGTCAAAGACCGATAACATTACAACAAGACTTAATCCTCTCAATACTGAAGAACAGGAGAAAACCAGAGTCTTTACACGCACAAGTCACAAAACCAAACAAGGCAGAATGCATTATTTACACAATTTGTCTTCAATAAACAAATACGCAACTTGAATTATTGCTGCATTTAGCTATACCACAAAAATTACAATGAAAAAAATTGTATGTATATTGAACACCTCTCTCTCTCTCTCACTCTAACAACGAATGTAAGAAGGGAAAAAAATCAGAAATCACTCTGACGTGGGTATAATGGTGTGTATAAACTTGTTATTTTCTACTCCCGGCTTTGCGTTTCCCGTCGACGGTGGCCGACTGCCTCATGTTTCGATGCAAAGGTTGGCCAACTCCATTTGCTAGTTTCCTTGATGGTGATGGCCCTGCCATAGGATGTAGATTTTTGCTGCTGCAGGAAGGGAACAGACTTTTTAGTAACATGTCGAAAACTTAAAACGAGGGTAGACAATATTCGATGTGGGAGTGTGCGTATTGGCTTTACATCATTTCAGGATTTCTTGCTGATCTTGGAGTAGGTTTCTTGATCCCATTGGTTATGTTGCTAAGTTTAGTTTGATTGAATTGCCAAAGCAGATCAGGCTCGGATGAGTCACTGGCTGCAGCATCAATATCATCTATTTCATTGGAACCGGCCATGTTGAACCCGTTGGACCCCGTGAACATATTATATGCTTGTTCTGTGTAAACCTTTGAAGAATCATGGAGATATTTCTGGTAAAAGACATCAGATAAGTTCCCATTTTCTGCTTCCCAGCATCCTAGGGGGTTTCCTACTCTGTTAATGGCATCTTGCTTGTTCACCATAACCTTATCCACCCACTCACTCGAGCCCAATTCTTTCTCGTCGTCCCTAAAGTTTTGGGCAGGACTCACAACGGGAGGCCAGGGAGGTGAATTTGCTAATAGCTCATCAAGATCAAAGCTTCGCCTCTTCTGCCTCAATGTAGAGTTAGTGAACACCTGCCAAAGCAGAATGATAAGTTTTTTGTATGTTTGCGGAGAATCATAACGATGATATGAACAGTCGATCTAGAACAAACCCAACAGCCAACATGTTGAAATGCTGAAGTTAGTCGCGTAAAATTTGACAAGAACTTCCAATATGCATTTATAGACTGAAGAAATCGAACTAATTGCACATTTGAGTTAGTATTATGCCGCTATTGCCACTTTCAGTCACTAAACTGCATATTACTATGAAATTCTGAATTCAACAAACACACACACATTTGAATTTCCATCCTGATATAATGTGTAAAGCATAAATGTACCTCAATGTTGCCCACACTACCCGCAGGTTCTCTGGCCACCAAGATGTCTCCAACTCGCTGATTAGGATTAAAGGGTGATAGATCACTAGCCTTAGCTCGGTATTTTTCAGAGCTACCGGATACAGAATGCTGACTTTGGTCCGTCTCTACCTCTTTCTTAGCCAAAGATGCCTTAAGGCTAGCAATCTGGAAGATATTCGAACAAAAGTTAATCGATTTGCCAACTATCTTAAGATAACCATATCAACCAGTAGGTAAAGGCGAATACAATAACCTGTTCTTTGAGTTCTTTAACATCCGAAGTGTCCTTGTTCACTCGAGCAGCGCCGAGTTCAACAGTTGCTACACGCTCTGCGAATTTGAGAGTACTTATAGTTTCACCTGTGGCATCGGGTTCAGGACTTATGTGAACGAACATTAGTGTCTTCGCCTGCCCTCCTGAAAATACAATTCCAGCCGAATATAAACAAAACTTCTTGGAAAAAAATATTAGAGCAACAATTTAGCTCCTAAATATAGCTAAAACAGCAAATTTTTTGTCGATTTAAACTTGCCGAGTGAATCTTGAAGAAGTTGAGTGAGCTTGCTGTTTCGGTAAGGAACATGTGGATTCTTTTGGGCAAGAGAAGCAATCACATCTCCTAAAGCTGATAGAGATTTGTTTATGTGCTGTGCCTCTTTTAGTCGATCTCCCGTCACCTCAGACTTGTCTACTCTCTCACTTCCTGCAAGATCCACAAGATGCATGCAGCCGCGGAGAACGGCGCCAGATGTTAAATCTCTTCCTTGAACATGGACAGTCAAGCAACTGCAAAGCGATAAAAAAACAAAATTTAGCTTCAGAATGAAGAGATATTTCGGGATCAAGTGGTGTAAAGAAATAAAAAGTTACCTATGAGAGCGGCTGCTACGGTCATTCAGGGCTGTTGCACCAACTGCACGATTCCTTTGTCCTAGGTTCATCAGATCAATAACATCGGATGTTGACGAAACGGGCATGAGGTTTGCATCCGGTACATTGAGACCATTCTGGGAACTGTTGCGAATCTCTAATGTAATAATAGATTAAGGATAAGCCTAGATATAAAACTGGTTGGCAAAACCTACCCTTCAAGCTACATTAAAGTGAGAGACTCAACAATTCTATATTTTTGGTCTTCCTTTTTTCAGAGCATCAACCAACTTTTTGATGAAGCTCTAGATGATTTAGACTGAAAGAAAGCTTTTTTTCTGAATTACCAATCTGTCAGGACAAATATTCATAGACACCAACTGATAAGAATGAACTAATTTTATAACCTCGTGGGAAGTAAAACCGAATGAATTGGTAAAAGGATATCTTTTGTTACTTCCATCTGTAACAAGGAGATCCCTAACTTGCTCATTGTAAATTTCGATCATTTGAACAGAAACATCATAGCGAAAGGTATCCTTTCTTTGTTCTGCTAGAAGAAACAAATCACCTAGCGCTCTATAATTTACCCCTTGGTCTTTCTCTGTCAGGTCTTTAGGTCCAGACTGGATGTGTAAACCACCAAATGAACCAGTAAGTCCCAAGGAAAATGTATATAAATTTTAGAGAATAATCCAATCATGTCTTACCATAGTGTAAGTTTTCCCTGACCCTGTCTGGCCGTATGCAAATATGCAAACATTGTATCCATCAAGAACCGACCGAATCAGTGGCTGCATATCAGAAAAAACCTCCGCTGCAATGCAAGAAGATGCGACTTGGTAAAGAAAGCTAAAATCGCAGAAACATTATCAATAAGCAATTAAACTCTTAGTGAAGCAACCTTGAGTTGCAGACTGCCCAAAGACTTTGTTGAAGGTAAAGGACTTGCGTCCTTTACCATACTTTGACGGTGTGT